TCTATCTCAAGTTCCTCCGTGCTTCGGAAGGCACGTTAAGTGAATAGTTAAATGATTAAAAAAACAAAAATTATAAATACGTAACCGATGGTATAACGTAGTTTATAAATGAGCAAATTCTCTTTAATAATTAAGCGAAAATCGCTGTTTATTTTTCACCCACATTTAAAATAACGGGGTAAAAAATAAAACCTTGTGTTTCTCCACTAAAGGTATATTCTCGGACGACGGTATCAGGCCGACATTTTACTTCAAAACAAATTAAGTTCAAGAACTCGAAGTTTACCTGTTTCCAAGAAAGAATCACAATACCATAATGACTTGAAGATGTAAATCGTTTACGCTCATTATATTCTCAAGTATTACCTCTTTGGTCGGAGACACTTAGGTGGATTGTTTATGGCGTAATTGATAAATACTTGGATTTTATTCAGGAATCTTTTACACAGGACCTTTTACAACCTTACATTTTTAAGGAATTTAGCAAACGGGTTGAACCAGGTCTACTATCATCATCATCATCAGCCTATTAATGTCCCCACTGCTGGGGCACAGGCCTTCCCTATGGATAGAATAGGGAGATTGGGCCATGACCCACCACGCGGGTGGATTGGCGAGTGCTAACGACTGCAGATGCAGCCGGGACCAACGGCTTAACGTGCCTTCCGAAGCACAAAGGAACTCGAGATAGAAAATTTTTGGTCACCCATCCAACGACCGACCACTGCGAAAGTTGCTTAACTTCAACGATCGCAGCCGAACGCGCTAACCACCTGCGCCATCGAGCTCCTCTACCTACTGATTTGTTGAATATGAAGATTCAATCAAAAATATTATTGTGGGCTGGGTAAGGAAAAACTAATGATTGGGATGAGATGTCATAGCATGAACACGGAAAACCCATCTTAAGTACTCGTACCAAAGTTTAAAAAAAAGTTATGTGTTTTAATATCTTCAAGCTAGTTTTTACGGGTTAATGCACGAAACTTTATTTATTTATTGACGTTTCGTAGCCTTTACAGGCGACGAAACGACAATAAATATCCAATATCCAAATTTCAATAGGGAAGATGGTTGGTATATACCACCAGCTTGGGAACCTATTATACAGGAGATAAAATCCCAACCCCGAGCACACACTGCAAGACCATCAGATACTATTAGTTCTTTTTGTTTGCATAATTTAACATAAGAAGGAGATAGAAAGCCTCTCTTGAGTTTGTTTCGCCGGTTCTTCTCAGAAAGGTCTCCCAATTTTGGAACCGGTGGTAGTTTACGGTAGTTAGGGTCAAATAAATAGACTCAAAATTACAAAAAAAAATAAATAAAATACTTTATTAAGTTAATTTAATAATAAATTCATACATAGACAATGGTGTCGATTCTGGCAGGATTCTCTAAACTTAAAACTAAATTTAATGTCAGTCTGTCCTTTTCATTCTGTATAGAGAATGACTAGGACACACTGTTGTCAAATTTAAGTTTAGGTTTAGAGAATCATGCCAGAATCGACACCAATAAAACTTAAAAAAATCGAACAATGAAATAACCGAACGCTCAATAAAAGTCTTTCGAAGGTAGCTCGACAAATTAAATAAAAGTTTAATTCTGACGACGTAGCCTGTAAAGGCTACGAAACGTCAATAAATAAATAAAGTTTCGTGCATTAACCCGTAAAAACTAGTTTTATTTAATGAGTGATGTGCGTGAAAACCTAAGAAACAAATATCTTCCAGCTGTTTTATGTAAATTAAGACAAGGCAGTTTCAACTTCAACAAGTGCTTATAACAGCCTAGCTAAGCCGAACAAACGATTATGTTTCCGAGCACTTTAGATAATTGTTACTAAAGACTCTTGTTTAAGGGAGGTAGAACATAGCGGATTTCCCGCTCGAATTGGAGCGTCCACCTGGGAAAGCAATCTCCACCTCACATAAGACTACAGTCAAACGCTCTACCTTTTGATGATGTTGTGTTATTGTCGGTGAGTAATCTTCCAGGACTCTACGCTGTAGGGTTAAGTGTCAGGGTGTGCAATGGTGCTAGTGATAGTCTTAGAATCGCAAGCGTCTATAGGCTATAAAATTCAAAATTCAATATCGTTCATTCAATATATTGTTTTAAACTTTCATGGTCACTAACATTATAGCTATTAACGGGATTGTTACCGTGTACCTTGTTTTTTATGAGTCTCCGATATTTCGGCACTGTTGCAAGCGCCACGATCACGGAGTAACCGAAGTAATTGCGGGTAGATGTTATTGGCAGACATATCGGTCTACCCTCTGATGTCATCTTTTACTGCGTTCGATACGCCTACCACTGGTCACATTCTCATTATTCACTCGTGCCGGGAACAAATGCGAGTAAATAGTGAGACTGTGACCAGTGCCGAAATATCGGAGACTCATAAAAAACAAGGTACATGGTAACAATCCCGTTAATATCTATTCATTCAGTCTAGGCTGTTATAAGCACTTGTGAATGTCGAAAAGCTACGCCATCGTCGGTTCGCTAATCTACGGCGGGAGACCTTGTACTGAGAAGAACCGGAAACTCAGAAAGGGCTGTTTTTTATACAGAGTCGTCGAATTGAAAAATGACTTCAATATGAGATAACTCATGAAGTCGTATGTCGTACAGAATTTTATTGTGGGGAAATGGCGCCGACATTCAAACTATTTTCGTGCTGCAGAAGAGAGCTATTTGATCAATTTATAATCTTAAAGTTAAAGAATCATTAAGATATAAGTTCAAAGAATTTGGAATAATGACGGTCGCGTCACAATACATATACGAAAATTTAATACTTGTAAGAAAAACTTGGAAGAAACAGTGATGTTCACACAATTAATACAAGAAACAAAAATAAACTAACTTTACCTGCTGCTTGGCTTCACAAAATTAATAATTCATTCAAAGGTCTTTGTGTTCGCTTATACAATAAAGTCCCAAGCAATATCCAAGAGTTAGCCATAGGTAAATTTAAAGATATTATAAAAAAAAAACACTTATTAAAAAAGCTTATTACAAAGTGTCTGATTATATTACAGACAAAAGTGCTTGGGTTTGAACTGTTCCAATCATTCCAACAGGTTTTCTATATTAAAATAATCATAATTGTATTGACGCTGTAACAACATAATGATTTGTAAATGTTGTTACATTAGACTTTTAATGTTGTGGAGCTTTTTTTGCTCGTTTTTCTCCGCAGCTAAAAAATATGTCCATAACGAGTGGTAGGGAAAAAATTTTTGGACGATTCAAAAGAGTTGTACTATACATCCAATTTGAATAAAGGTATATTGATTTCTGATTTCCGAGTCACTTTCCATTACAAATGTAAATGTTTATGACTATAAAATAAAAAAATATAACAAACTGATATAACAAAGTTTAGGATTTTTTAGCCATGTCCTATGCTTAAGCATAAAAAAATGAATGATTAAAGTTAAATACAACGATTAATAGTACCCAATGTAGCAAGAGCAGGCTCATCTCCGCTGGCAGCACCCGTTCACGAGCATGACGCATGAACCAGCCATCGCTTCGCTTAACCATTTTTTAGGGAACGTAACGTATAGTGCTGCCTACCAGGACATCCTGTGGGCCATTTCATTGTTTGCCACCCTTTTAAGTTGTAAAATAAAGAAAACAGTAAGATTTCTTTTTCTGCTTCTGTTTTGCATTTTTTTGTACTCTTCCTTATAACCTTTATATGTAAACAAGAACAAAAGAAATAGCAATTTTGTTTCTTTTTGCGTTCACTCCATTGGGCGGTTTCGAGACGATAAAATCATTACCTTTAACTGCTTTAAACGCTAATGTTCCCAGATAATGTTGTTCCTTTTGAGATAGAAGGTCAATGAGCAGATAACCTAACAAGCAATTACTCTGTCCGTCTGTAGCTGATTTGCTTTATTTGAAACTAGATTTCAAAAACGCGACTTCGACCGCTTTGTGGGTAGTTTTTTGAGAATTCTACAGGAAATCTTTATTTCCGGGATAAAAAGTATGATATATCTTATTCTAAATTCAAATTCATATCTATACCCAATTTCATCCAAAGCCGCTGAACAAAGGAGATTGCTCAAATTGGCCCAAATGTACAAAAAATATTGACATATACGGTAATTCTTGGCGTAATTTATACTTTATTTTACAGTCATTAGATTTTAACGGACACCTTTGTATAATATATTCATTTTAAAAAGGACTTTTAATTTTACCGGTCTGGAAAACATACGAATCACACAGTTTCTGTGACAGAAATGTATAGATGATACCTGATTTTAAGAGCTACTCTTGTGCATTAACTTTATAAACATGCAACTATCTGTTAATCTAGCTGCTCTATATACCTGAATCTATTGCGTAATTTCGGTACTTGGCTTGATTTCCCTGGTTTACTATATAACTTATTTGTTTTTTATTATTTTAATACCCATGCACCTATTTACAAACATAACCTCAAAATCATTCAGTGTATATGGTTTATAGAAGCTCTCAGGGGTGTCCGTCAATAATATTCGTTTCTACAGTATAATTTATATATAATTTCGAATCTAGGAAACAATTTTTCATGATTATTGGTCTTTAGGCCAAACATGTATGGAAGCTGAGCAATCTCCTTTGTTTTTCGTCGCCCGAGCCGTTTTCGAGTAACAAATATACAAACTTTCACATTAAATTTGTAATTAGTAGCAAATAGTATAGTATGTACAACCGTTTTTGGTAACATACGTCACCACCCATTGAGGACATGTTTTAGCTTGCCTTTATTTTCCATAGTATAATTTGAGCTGGATTCTAGATTAAAATAATTATTTTGTAATCGGACAAAACTATATGCAAATATAACGGAACTATCTGGACTATTCTTATAAGAAGTTATAGTTACTGGATTAACTAAAGAACTGGAAGGATAATAATCTAATCCGGTTGGTAGACAGCGCGGAATTCTTTCGAGTTATAAATTTCAATGAGAGCGCTCCAGCGTAATGAAACCTTTGAGACGAGGCGCTTCGTGGAGCTCCGACGAGAACGGTGTAACTGCTCAAATAATAAGGTATAGTTTCGCTTAATCTTCAGACTTATTTGTACACCCTTGTTTCAGTGCGGAGACACATGTTTCGGTGCGTGAAAACGTGGCGCATATATCTTCAGTGATCAAAGTTTTTCTTCGTTTCGCATTCATACTTTATCACGTGCGCGACAAGATTTATTTGTTTGGTCGCGTGTTATGTTCAATTATTAATATATTATGAACCAAATCCACATGAGTAAATAAATAAATAATCAAGAAATCAAGAAATCAATATATCTTTATTCAAATTAATAGTACAACACTTTTGAATCGTCCAAAAAATTTTTTCCCTACCAATCGTTATTGGACATATTTTTTAGCTGCGGGGAAAAAGGAGCGAAAAAAACTCCACAACATTAAAAGCATAATGTAACAAAATTTACAAATCATTATGTTGTTACAACGGTAATACAATCATGATTTATTTAAGCTTAACTCTTGGATATTGCTTGGGACTTTATTGTATAAGCGAACACAAATACCTTTAAATGAATTATTGATTTTGTGAAGCGTATATAATATATATTATAATAAATATATTTCCAACATTCACACCAATTAGCCTAGCCCCAAAGTAAGCACTGTAAGGCATGTGTTATGGGATACTAGGGTAACGGATAGAATACATACTGTACATATACAAGTATATTTATATAGAAATAGATATTAAACATCCATGACTGGAGTACAAACGCTCGTATTCATCACACAAACTTCTGCCCCCACCGGGATTCGAACCCGGGACCTCTCGAGTCGGCGACACCATGAAACCCGGCGTACAAACCACTCGGCCACGGAGGTCGTCAAAGTAAATTAAGGCACAGAGAGTCAGAGGCAAAGCTTCATACAAATGCGAGTGCGTGCGTGAGCACTGGCGCCTTTTTTTTTAATTATTCATGATCATGGATACAAGTCCTTCAGTCGCATACATAAATACAAATCTTAATCTTCTTTTTTTTATTTATATGAGAATGTCGGTGTGACGCATTCTAACGTTTCTTGGAGTGTTCGGCACGGTATCGAGTTGGTTTCATCGATAAGATTCTATGAGGTAGTCAACACTACAATAAAGTTCTCACGTCCACTTGACCGGTACAGCGTATATTTTAAAGATTCCACTAATTTTTTAAGTTGAGCAGATGGTTGTAACACAAAATCACACCAATTTTATTTCACAATATCCACTATGAACGAATTTAAGAATAATTAAAATAAGACGCTAACCGCACTCGATGAAATCTCGCCAAAAACATCCCGCAGCCAGTACTCACTCACCAGTGTTGCCAGGACCGGTTATTAGAAATCGGGAGGCGTTATAGAGAGCTACAAGAAAAAACAGTAGATGCAGAGGCGTAATTTTTCCGATATTATTTATTAAAATTAAGGTTATTTGTTTCTTAGGTTTTCACGCACATCACTCATTAAATAATAAAAAAATGATTCCGACGAAGCAGCCTGTAAAGGCTGCGAAACGTCAATAAATAAATAAATTTTCGTGCATTAACCCGTGAAAACTAGTTTTATTTAAAATTAAGGTTACTCACATTCTTAATGGCGGAAAACGCAACTCAACATGCAATTAAAAATAAAATCGTATTCTAAGAAAAATACTAGATTTATGTAGAAGAACAGGAGAAATTTCAGAAAAACAGGTCCCTGTCACTCACTTACGCGCACTGCCTGAAGCTTTCTGTGTGTGCCTTCGTTACTCATCAGATCCCAAGAAACAAACGAAATTGCAATTTCGTAATCCCAAAAAGACCTCTCACACAGAAAAACTATAATTACAGAAGAATCCTTCATATGAAGGGCCTCAACGGGTGTTATGACGTCATGAACGTCTCTCACGAGAGGGGTCCCTCAAGGACCGGGCCCTGAGGGTTATAAAATTATCCCATGCTCACTGGGCTAGGATTAATGTATGCCCATCTCCACTGAGGGCTACCCTTATTACGGCCATAATATTAATTTAGTATCTCACTATATTTGCGAGAAATTTTGTTTTGTTACTGTAGCAAATAAATTATGAAGTCTCTGTATGTCACTTATTCATTTTCATTTCATTTATGATAAAGGTATCCGAACAAATTAAAGTGGTACTCACATATGACGAATTTTCTATCAACATGCAAGATTTGAAACTTTGATTTTTAAGGCTTTTCATATTGTTAAATTTCGTATTGTTTTATGCTTCTTTGTGATCTTAAATAACAAAATGAATGATGATTCAGAACAGAACATTATGTATGAACTCTTGGAAACTCACCAGCCATATATTTTCATAAAGAACTTTTGTTACCACGCACGCACGAGTAGGAGAAGTGTGAAAGTAATGGCCCGACTTTGTTGTTTGTTGCTATCTTCCTGGTATGTTGTACGTACGTTAACTCGAGTTCTGATCAAATCCAAACACTGTTTACAACTTCCTTATTATTGTTTAAACTTTCAAAGATATAATGACGTCATTAGCATGTATTAGTATTCAGCATAAATATAATGAAGTTTGAATAGCTATCATATTACTGAACTCTGGAGAAGTCCCATCTCTTCAGTATTCGAACCCTGAAATCGTTACCGAGTTAATTATCTCGCCATGTTTACTACTCAAAAATAGCCGAGCAGAAAACACAACTACAATTCCATTATAACAGTATTTATCGTAGCTTTTAACATCAAATTTCCCGTAATACAGCTTATGGTTTAATAACACGGCGACTGGAAGTGATAAACTACATGCGAACCCTCGCGGCTGGGAGTTTATGACCGGTCCGATTGGTTTACGGTCTCGTGGAATGCTGAGACGTTTTCAAATTAATTCTCGTTTTGAGCATAGCTTTCAGTTGGTGAATGGTTTTATTTTACTACTTTCGTCATATTAGGTTCGTTATCTATACTTATATCGCAATTTTGTGAATTTATAAGATTATCAATTTTTTTGATTGTTGGTATGTTTAAGTGAGAGTACTAGTATTCTATATAAAGCTTTGATAATAGTGAAGTCTAAAAGAGAAGCTACCGTGGAAAAATATAATAAAGGAAACCCTGTAGGGCCTGTTATTCATTTTCCTATTCTTTAGATACAGTGCCAGGCATACGAGAACTCATTTGCGAGATATGAAACAGCCTCAATATCACCGTTTACAGAATTTCATAGACTTTTTCCGCTTCACTATTTCTGACCCAAGTGACAACCCTGAGGGTGCCCGTTATTATGTGTAGCGCAGTAACAGTTTTAGTTAATGTGTTTTACATAAATTATCATGAGGTGGCATACATGATTAACGAAGTATCCTTGCAACGCGTAAATGCTGTTGATATTCTTAGTTTACTTGGTTATGTAAATTAAAAGTTTAACAAACCGTCTTTACTATCAAAGTTCTTCAAATGAACTTGTTTATGAAAAGTTAAATTTTAATTTATTGCAATAAAAATAAACTCCTGTGTACAGTATAATTTCAATTCACTGTTTAGAATACTTACTCCCATATCGAAATTATTAAATCACATAAAACATGCTTAAATATTTTTAATATTAATACTTAAAAGGGCACTAAGGAAAACTCTTGCTAACCTAAATCTACTTAAGCTCAACTCTAACATCACGGAAGATGTGTAGCACATAAGCGAAGACATAAGCGACCCGTCCGGGAGTGTCCTGAATTATGGGGCAATATCCCCGACTGTCGGCTACTAGCGACACTCTATCAAACGCTGCACTCAAGATCCTAATCGTAAACGATAATTCAAGTCTAAGCAAATTCGCTAAAAGTAGTACTGAATTTTAAGATGGGTATTTAAATTAGTTATTTATAATACAAAAAGGACAATAAATTCCGTTTATAAAAAATCAATGTAATATCAAAAACTGGACAAATAAAAATTTCGTTTACCTACTAACATGCAATTGCAATAATATTACAGCAACCTGTATTTTAACATTTAAAATTTCATCTGATTTCGTATTTACATTATGAGTAACAACTTATTTGGGTTCACAACTGAACTTATATCCTTGTACAGCATTCGCCTGTTCGCTCTAAGCCTTCACTCTAATTAGGTCATCAAGCTTCCAGTGTCACTACGGTTGACGAGTCCTCCGCGTTATTTCCTTTCTAACTAATAAGCTGTTGACGTTTTAATAGAGGCTGTGCTCCTACCCCGCCCTCTCTCATGGAAAATTAATTTCTACTTCCAGTTGATAGTTAGGTTTGTTTATACCCCCAGTCTCTGAAAATGTGACATTGGAATAATTTCTGAATTTCACTTTTAGGACATTCTACATTAATAAAGTTTGTAAGTTCTCATTATTTCAGTGCAAAATACGCGACGCGAATTTCAATACACCTACTACTGAATCAAAAGTCTTCATAATAATGTTTAGTCAAAATACATTGGTCAGCTCGTTTTTCGAGTTAATATTCATCATATTATAGTTTTTATATGGTATTTTTAGCTTTGATTTTTTTTGCATTCACATAAGCTTTATTAACTAGATTATATAGCTGATGGAGATTAATAAGCTAATTATGGTACACGCGAAATTATTATAATTATATAATTCTTACTAGTGTTATGTAAAACGGATATACACATGTATAAAAACGAGATTATGCCATAAGTTTTATTCGAGTTCTGTGCTAAATGAAAGCTTAATTAGGAAGCAAGTTTTGCTGACGTTGAGTTAATTAACGGAAGATTAAGAATAATTTTCTTCGTGTCTTTATTTGTTTATTTACGTTCCATAAAAAATATTTTGCATTTTTTATAAACTAAATACGATGTATTCTTATAAATGTTCAGACAATAGACAAGCTCCGTACAGATATATCTTTTAGACCTATCTTACAAAAGTGAATGCCAGTGACACTATTATGAGTTTCGTGCTGTTCTTAGATGAATCTAATAATCAGTTAAAGTTGAAAGAGTCAAAATTATCTTGAAAAAATCACAAAGAAAAAGTATTATCATTACATGTTTTTGTTAATTAAGTATTTGCATAACAAAACCATGTTTCGTAAGTTAACCAACTGGCACAACCTAAATTTGATTCCGGAATGACTTTAGTAACTTAATGTGTTTTAGGTAAATTTAGACGTCTCACTACCATAACTTAAGATTAAACATGAAATGATATGAATAACTTATTGGCAATTTCTTGATTAAAGTAAATTTTAGTAAGATTTACGTGTCTTATATTTTTCGTAAATATCAATTACCTAATTTTAATGCAAGCCTAATAATAAGTGTTTAATAAATTTGTTTGTATACACTACAAATATGCCAAATTGTAATAAAGTGTACGTTTTTATCACTTTATTATCATGAAGTTTATACCCATTAAGGTAACTTGAAACAAAGTTATTATGGTTTTCTGGATCAGATAAGTGAAAACTTTTAATACGCCAACCGACGGTTGCTTATAAACTTCTGCCACAACATCATTAATCACTTTTAAATCAGCCACTAGAACAAAAACAAAAATAATAATATACTTATTCAAGTAATTGATCTGTGTAGATTTATTTCAAAGTTACTGGAAAGGTAATTTACAATGTACTGTATCTCAATATGTATAAGGTATTGTTTCAACAAAAGGACTGATTTGATCCAGTTATAAATGTCTGCAAACCTCTACTCATGATATTTGATGACGAACATACTTCTTAATTTAAAGAAATGTAAGTACTACTACTTCTTATTATGCTAACTCCATAGTGACACATACTAAAAAGATGAAGGAAAAGGAATAGCTCGCGGGGACTTGTAACACAAGTGTCACTCAGGGTTTCGCGCTAGGACCGCTACTTTACATGACAAGACGGTTTTCATATCCACAACAAGCTTTTGATATAGTCACAGATTTCGCTATCCTGTTTTGAATTCTTGGCTCGAGTGCGGTACTCAGTATTGATTTTATCTCTTTTCACTGTTTGTTTTGCGGCAGCTTGTTTTGAACTGGTTAATATTTGGAAATCTCAAATGTGATAAATTGATTTTGTACTGTTTTCATTACTGTGATGGGGTATTTAGCTGATAAGTATATTTTGTAGTTGGATTATAGTTAATATTTCTATTGAAGTTGTCAACATTTTCAACACTATAAATTTCAACTTTGTTAACTTATATAGCCACAGAAGAAATTACTATTTATAAACGATTTTCTGTGAGCTATTTAATTATTTGAACAGTTTTAATATCATTAGAATATAAATTTTATTACTAACTATTAACTTTCTCGAGGAAAATTTTCACGATTCACTAAAAGTAATAATGCCGTGTATTCTCCTGTTTTTAACATAATCTTAAATCAAGAATAATATTTTCCTTTCCAATAAATCTGTTTGTACGAGAAATCTTTACTCCGGCATTCGTGACCAAATGAACTGTACTAACTCGTCGGGTGCAAATTGTTCTAAAATTGGTTTAGAGCTTGAAAATTCTCATATTCCATAAAACAAATTGCTTTACTCCATTTTTTAAAATGCTTGTCTGTTAATAGAGCTGAATTTTCCATTCGTAAACTAACATAATTTTTGAGAGTACTATACTTGCTAGATTATAGTATGTAATTGAATTATAATAAAGTTCCAAATTGTAACGGAATGTTCTTCGCTGATATAATTTCTTTGCTACTATTAATGAAAGAAAATTCCGTATTACGGGCCGAACTTTAGTGGCAATAAACTATGCCATAATAGAGTCTTATTGAGCTTAATACTCACCGTTATATGAAATGGATATAGTAGGTGTATTTACTTTTATGAATATACTTGTTATAAAACTTTAAATTAATTCCTATCCTGTGTTAATATTGCTTCTTATTTAATTTTCGTCAATCAATCTTTGTCAACACATTTTAAGCCAAAACTAATAGAATTTGATGGATCGGTGGATCCTTCTATAATTAATTATTTTATTATGAATAACATTTTATGATTTTTTTATTTTTATCTTTATTAAACATTCAAAAGTTTCAAACATCTTTTTAGATTGTCTATTTTATCAAACTAATATTTTTTAAATTATTTAAAAGTACCAAATTAATCACTTTCGAAAGTCTGCTTCTAGTATATTATGATGTTGTATTGTATTTGTTTTTTATTTACAATCTAGCGCTTAGGATTTCCTTCTACAGATAGACAGACTAATCTTTGACATTTCCAGGTTTATTACTAAACAATACAATTTTGTTTTGTAGTGAACGGCATTCCGAGTCTACTCTTCTTGTCAGCAAAGTAATTAAGATTTTTACGATGACATTCTCTGTCGTCTTAGTAATAAAGTTAACGTAATTAGGCCGAACCTCTAAAGTATACTCTGGCCTTCACTTCTTGGCCTTAATTTATATTTATGTGTCCTCTTATGTAGTAACATGAATAAAGCAAACACTTTATATACCATTTGAAGAATTTTCTAGATCTTCCTAGTAGTCAAAATCAAACTCATTTATTCAGTCTAGGCTGTTACAAGCTCTTGTGAAAGTCAAACGCTACAACATCGGTTCGTAAATCTACGGCGGGAGACCTTGTACCGAAAAGAACCGGCAAGAAACTCAGCAAGGGCTATTTGTTCTCCCTGTTTTGTTTCATACAGAGTCGTCAATTGAAAGATGACATCAAAAACTGAAAACATGACGTTGATGTCATCTTTCATCACATAAATATTATTAATTAACAATAAGATAAGTATAGCTAACAATTTTCAACCAAATTAGCAAAATAAAACGACTTTGTCTATTATATTAAGCCCAAGGCGCCTATCATTTA